CAATGGCAAAGGAAGTGAACAAAGGCCTGAAACCCCCACTCAACCTTTCTTCAGTGAGGAGGTTAGTTATTTCCTAAAAATTATTTATTTTACTTCTTTTTACAATCTTTGTACTTTTGATGTTGATACTGCTATATTATACCACAAAATTACCTTTATAAATGCCAATTACTTTAAATGATTGTAACTTGAAATTCTTCTACTTACTCACTCAAAAATTAAAATAAAATTACTAATTTAAGGAAATTGGTTGATCGCTAAAATTATGTTAAACTATCCCAAATGTATATGCGTGTCATTTCTCATGTTTTTGCTTTGGGATTGTCATTATCTCTTTCACAAATAAGTACATTCCAAACCCAGTGCACAGTTAAAATTTGTAGAATAGTGCAGTTACCTCTGGTTTATTCTGTTGCATTGGCCTTCTGATTAAAGTTCTGCTTTTGTTCATCTTCTAACCTCCTCTGCTGGTCAGTCCTAAAGCACAAAGAGCAAGATTTAGACACCTATCTGGATAAACAACCATCCACCTTGCCTTTGGTCCACATAAATGATCTCCTTCCAATCAATTTGAGAGCCATATCGACAAACTAGTCCTCCCCTTTAAATAACCTTTCATTCTTGCATATCCACACAATCCAAGTTATAATAGTATAGTAAAGACCAAACTTCCCTCTTAGATGTTCCTACCACCCCAAAATTGACTGATCATATAATTGTATTATACTCGGTGGAGATATATGGAGCTAAGACCTTACCAATAATAGTTCCAACTACTATTTAGGAATACATTGATCAACTACTCCAACTCTACCATTTTTAACATGATCGAGCATCCTTTTTCTCATCCATCAAGAAAATGATAAGCTTTTACTACAAAGTGAATTCTGTGTCGTGCAGGTTGTGCTACCAAACCTAGAGGAGCTGCAATTACGTTGGATGAATATTAACATCAAATGGCACACTTCGATAACATATTTATGTGTGGAGAAACTGAAGAAATTGATCATTCAAGGCTGTGACAATTTGGAGTACTTATTCTCATCTTCTATAGCTAGAGGTCTAGTGATGCTAGGTCGAGTTGAAATAAGGGAATGCAAGAGGATGAGAGAGATTATTGTCACAGATAATGCAAAAGAAAAAGAGAATTTAATTTTTCCTCAATTGAACTTCCTATTGTTAAAAGACCTTCAAAACATTGTTGGATTCTACTCAGGGAATTGTATTGTTGAATTCCCATCCTTAAATCAATTGGAACTATTGAACTGCCCAGAGTTGGAAGGATTCATTGTTAAATATTTTGCAAGCACAAATGTCATTGCTGACAAACAACCATTCTTCAATGAACAGGTAAATTTTACTCATTGCGTTTTCATTTTGTTTTCGCACTAATTTAAGGAACTAATCTAAATGTGGCATGATGCATTCATTATGTAGGTTGCTTTTCCCAACTTGGAAAGTCTGACTCTCACCCACTTGAAAAACTTGGATATCATATGGCACAACCAATTCCATGCAGATTCCTTTGGCAAACTAAAATCATTAACGGTTAGAAATTGTGAGAAGTTATCCACTGTTTTTTCATCTGTTGATATGCTGGGAAGAATATGGAAATCCCTAGAGAAGTTAATTTTATCTGATTGTGGCTCGCTAGAAGTGGTATTTGGAATTGCTGAGTTCAATGTCAAACAAACACATGCTATAATAGACACCAAGTTGAGAGAATTGAATGTTTATGGTCTACCAAGATTGAAGTATGTGTGGAATAAGGATCCCCAAGGGATACTCACTTTCCACAGCTTGGAATTAGTAGTTATAGTAAAGTGTAACAGACTCAAATTTTTGTTTCCAACTTCAATAGGCAAAAGCCTTTCGCAACTTCAAAAGCTACATTTATGGTTGTGTGGGGTGGAGGAAATTGTTACAATGGGAGAACAGGGAATTGAAGCAATTGTTAACTTTGAATTTCCTCGAGTATCAAGTCTTGAGCTTGAGTTGCTACCAAGACTCCAATGTTTTTATCCAGGGCAGCACACGACCGCGTGGCCAATATTACAAAAGTTCTACTTTTCCCATTTCAATCAAGTAAAGAGAACAGATGGCAGTTGGCAACTTGATTTTCCTGTACGACTACCACTTTTCTCCATAGAGAAGGTACATAGCTTCTTACCAAAATAAATAATAAAAGAATTCCTTGCTTCAAATATATATAATGAAATGAGAGTAATTTCTAATAATCTGCTATACATGGAAATAATATGGAATTGTAGTGGTAATTACTTATTTCGTAAGACCTGAATGGTTTTCTTGGTAAAATATTGTTTGTGTGACAAATGCATGTGACAATTCCAATTATTTCTTTTAGGAATTTTTTATCCTATACCCTTAGGGCAATAAATACATTCTTTTATAATAAAAAATTATTAAAGTGGATATTAACTTTAGAATCATTGTCATATGAATATATTTAATTAGACAGTTGATAAATTAAATATTATTTTTTATTTTTTCAAGGTTCTTTAAGGGCACAGATTAGACAAACTCTTTCTTTTATTGTGCCATTATTGTTTTTGAATCTTTCTGTTATTAGATTTTAGAGTATTTGGTATGTGAATATGTGATGCAACTAACGCTTGCCACCCAAAAATGAAGTATAGAGCAGTTTTTTTTCTTGCCTTTTTTTTCTTTTCCTATTAGCAATGAAAAGAGATGTTTTCATTCGATAGGCAAGTAAAGTGTATTTGGTTGCCATGTGAAATAATGAACAATATTTTTTTAATAATTTTCTTCTTTTTATAAACAAAATAAAATCTCATTAAGGAAAAACATACAACTTATACATTTTATTGCATTGAATTCCTTTCTAGGTCATCCCTCATTTGGAGAAATTGTCATTAACAAGACATGATATTGCAGCGATCCATGAACATCAATTTAAAGAAGATCTCTCTTTCAATATCAAAGTTCTTAAAATTCATGACTATCTTGATAATGAATCAGATGTTTTACCCATCAAATTCCTACAAAGATTCTGCCATCTAGAAGAGCTTGTCGTGGAGTTTTGTAATTTTAAAGAGCTGTTCCCTTCAAAAGGAGAAGTTGAAGAACAAGAGATACACATTGAAATTGAGACACTCTCAAGGATTAAAACATTAGATCTAAAGATCCTTCCATATCTCAAGCATATATGGAGCCATGACTCATCAATTGTTCTTCCAAATCTTGGAACTCTTCGACTTTTCAGATGCGAGAGTTTGATTAGCTTGTCAACATCACCTGCCTTTTTCCAAAATCTTGTGACTTTGAATATAAGCAGGTGTAAAGCAATGGTAAACTTGGTTTCCATCTCAATAGCTCAAAGTTTGGTGCGGTTAGAAAGACTGACTGTGTCACAGTGCTACATGCTGGCTGAAATAGTTGGAAATGAAGGAAATGGAACCCAAGATTTAAACATGATCACTTTTACTAAATTAAGATTTTTGAAACTTCAATGCTTGCCAAGATTAAAAAGCTTTTGTTCAGGGAATTTCACCTTCAAATTTCCATCTTTGAAAAAGTTAATTGTGATTCAGTGCCCCAAATTGATGATCTTCAATGAGGGTGACCTAAACACACCACTACTACAGAGAGTAGAATTAATTGAAGGAGAGGACAAGTGGCGTTGGGAAGGTGACCTTAATACCACCATACAAAGAATGTATGTGGAAGAGGTATGAATTGATTTCTAGATATTTTTGAAGCCACTCATTCTTATTATAAAAAATTATTTGATTTATTTATATTTTGTTATATATAAACTACTCTTTTTTTTCTTTTTTCTTTTTTTGCACATGCATAGGTTGGATTTGCTGGGTTACAATTTTTGATGCTGTCAACTTTTCCCAAGTTATTGGAAACATGGCATATCAAGAATCCTCAAGAACTCTTAGATTTTAGACAACTTTTGGTGCTGGAAATTTGTAATTGTAGCAAGTTCAGGTACCTATTAACGCATTCAATGGCCTTGGGCCTTGTGCAACTCTTGCAGTTAATAGTAAAAAATTGTGGAACAATGGAACAAGTGATAATGGGAGAAGGAGCAAAAAATAAAGTGGAATTCCCACATCTTTGGTTGATCAATCTAAAGTCTTGTTCAGATTTGACAAGTTTCTATGTGGGAAGTCATAGTCTGGAGCTTCCAGGATTATATAATTTTATTGTAGAAGACTGCCCAAAAATGGTCACATTTGTTGCATCTACATCCTCCAAAGAACATAACAAAGGGGAATCCCAATACCTCTTTAGCAGCAAGGTTAGTTTCTATTCTTCTTTTCCCTTCTCTCTCTCTCTCTCTCTTTTTTTTCTGTACAGCAACAATGTTTATTTTTTATCTTTATTTTTTATAATTAAGACTTTACAGCATATTTATGTTTGCTTTTCATATTTTGGTGTTTCATCTCTAGCTACCTCTTTAACTACATGAATGAATCTCCTTGAATAAGTTCCACTTAATACACGGTCAGAAAATAAAGACTCTTGGCTGGTAAATTACTACTTAAAATGTGTAGTTACTCAACTTTAAAAATAGAATTATTGATCCAAATAATATATATTCTTTTTTGCCTTGTATTGACCCAAATAATGTTTAAGTCTAAAAAGAGTTGATTTCTACTCAAAATATCAATTCACTTCACATAATTGCATGTCATTTTCATGTTCTTGGCTTTGGATTTATCCTTCTAATGTTTTTAGTTTAATCAATAAAAAAAAATAAACTTTTTCACGAAGTTTCTATTAGGTTGAGTTTTTCTCAACTTGGAGTTTTTGAAGTTGTTTTCAGTTAAAATTAAGCAAATATGATAGTCATCTTCCTATTGTCTTATATTAATAGACTAACCAAGAATCTTTGCAGGTAGAGACTCCTCATTTGGTGTTTTTGAGTTTGTCTTCAAATAACATTCAACGGATTTTGGACAATTCAATTTTAGAAATCTCTTCTTATGTCCAAAATTTAAGAAAATTGTGTGTTGAGGGTTGTGGTAATTTGGAATATCTATTGACATCCTCCATGGTTAAGAGTTTTGAGCAACTAAATTGGCTCAAGATTTGTGATTGCAATATGATGGAAGAGGTAATACTTGTAGAAGAATCAATGGATGAGGAAAAGATGTGCCAGACTTTCTTCCCTAACCTGGAGTTCCTATTGCTCCAAGACCTTTCAAAACTCACAAGATTTTGTTCTGGAAATCACTTGGAATTACCATGCCTTTGGAAACTTAAGATAAGCAAGTGCCCTGTGCTAAAGACTTTCATCTCTAGCCCTTTTTTTGGAGACATGATAGCTAGTTCTGAAAATGTCAAAAACACTTGTGCACTTTCTCTCTTTGATGCAAAGGTGATTTCTCCCCTTTTTTTTTCCCTTTTTTTTTTTACTTTTTAATGTCTTATAATGCTATTATTATTTTCTTGTCCTCATAAAGTTTTACATTTAAAAAAAATTAGATTCTAATATTTTCATTTCATTACATCTATGATTATGTTTAATTTTAATTGAATTGTGTAAATCTTTAGGTGGCATTCCCCAAATTAGAGCATTTGGTAATTGAACATGCGAAGAGCTTGAATAAGATCTGGAAAGACCAGCTTGTAGTAGATTCTTTTTGTCAACTAACTTTGGTGAGTGTGGTTTCATGTGAAAAGTTATTGAATATTTTCCCATTTAGTATGTTGGAAAGGCTTCAAAGACTAGACAAGCTCCAAATATGGAACTGTGATTCACTTGAAGAGATACTTGAGTCTAATGATCCCGCTGTTAGCCAATCACAAACTCGAAAGGCCACTCCGCTACCTTTGTTGGAAACCATCACATGCTTGGAGGATGATGTGAAGGATGAGATTGTCTTTAGCAAACTCAAGTATTTGCAACTTTGTGGTCTGCCTAGACTTTCAAGCTTTTGCTTGGTTAAATGCAAGTTTGAGTTCCCATTTTTGGAAGATGTGATTTTGATGGATTGTCCAAGTATGCAGACTTTCTCCATGGATGAAATAAGAACGCCAAAACTACAAAAAGTAAAATTGACTAGAGATGAAGATGAAGGCTTTTGGGACGGCAACCTAAACTCGACCATACAATTACAATTCATGCAAAAGGTATGCATTAATTTGAAAGATCTCCTAGGTTTTTCATTTTTAAGGTTCTATCTCTTTTCTTTTTTACACAAAGCTTCATTTAGAGTCTTCAAAATAATAGGAAAACCAGAAAGGTATGTATGAATGCTTAATAGATTATGATTCTAATAAGGAAAATTTTTGCTACAATTTTACCTTTCATTGCCAGTATTGTGTTGTTGTTATGTCTGTAGAGTCAAGGTGATTCTGAAATTGAGATCAAAGAAATTGCGGCTCATGTCCTTTCCAAGTGAAATTTGATGGTGAGTTGGTCTTACTTTTCCATCATCTCTCTACACTTGTTTAATAAAGGTACATCTCTTGTAAACATGCATGGAGGCATACTGAGGCTGCTTGCTTAGTTCGTTGCAGGTCTGAATGGTGTACGCATAAATTGGATGTGAAGTTGTCACATTGCTTGTTGGCCAGAATGTTACCTCACTAACTAATATTGATCCCTTTTTTCTACCACAAAAAAAAAAAGGACAGATATTTTCTATTGCTCGAACTCATGTGCAACTTGTAACTTGTATTATTAAATTCATGCAAAAACTTGTAACTTGTATTATTAAATTCATGCAAAAACTTTAACTTTATGGGTTGTTTTATATTATTAAAGAGAGAATATCCTTTCAGAAAATAAATGTTGCTTTCTAATACAAACTTGTATTATAAAAGTACATTTCTTGGACATATGGAACTATATATATTGAGAGGTTGCTTTCTTAATTCCTATAAGGTCTGAATGCTACACTCATAAGTCATAAGTTGGATATGAACTTTACAAAGATGTCACATTGCTTGGCGTCCAAAATTAAATTATCTGTTGTTTATGATGGTTTAAAGGCAAACAGAGTATTCAAAAGACATGTTATCTTGTGATTACCAATTGGGTTCAAATGTATTAGAATATGGTTTGTTCATTTTGATGGGTTTGCTATATTTTTTTTCTTTTATGCACAAAGTAAACCATAATTTTAAATATATATTTTAGCTTTTCACGTGCAAAACAAATTTTGGTAGCTCAGGTGTTTCCTTTTTCTTTGTGATAATAGGCTACACAAGATGAGACAGATTAAGCCACTTCGCATATTGGAGATGTGCATTTGCATACTTAAAGCACACTCCTTTCCTTGTAGATGATTCTTTAAGTGATATTTGGTACCAATGGATGAGCTTCCACGCCCTCCAGTTTCCCATTTAACTTTTGGATGTAATTTGATCTAATGCTTATTGCACAGCAAATGATTGAAAATTACAAAAAAAAAATGTTCTTTTCATACATAATTCTTTCATGCATATCAATTCACACCCACTCATGCATGATTACCATTAGATGAGACCGAATCTAGATATAATTGTGTGAATCATGTTTCCAGCATCCTCAAATTTCTTGCCAACTTAATACTAAACCGTAAAAGAAGAAAATAAAATTCAACCTCATTATATTAATTCTCCTTTTAGCTACTTAACTGAAAAATTGCCCGACATGCAAATTGGAATAGTAAAATCAACCAAACTTACATTTACAATGATACCGAATACCGAACACAAATCACCAAGTAACAAATACCCTCTTAACCGTCAGCCATATGATCTGATGATAGAATTACTTGTACTCTTAACCATAAGTTTAAGATTCAATTCCTAGTCTCTAGGTACCAAAAAAACAACAAATACACTCTTAAACATGTTGATACAACCACATGACAAACTGTCAAATAACTTAAATGAGGAATGCTATTCCCCTATATAAGTTGGCTTACCTAAGCAAGAACGGTTTCGTATTCATTTTCTTCTTGGCAGCATTCATGCATCTAGTATCGGTCACGCCTGATTAAAAACAATGAGTAAGGTTCAAGAATAATCCTTATCAGCACCAAAAACTTTAAAAGCTTCAGGCACAAAACAATAAGGTAGGCAAATATCTATCACTTGGTTTTGAGGTGAAGATCAAGATTCAAATCCAAGCAATAACTAACAAGTCATAATATAATATAATTAGGTACTAAAGGAATGCCATCCCTTCATCAGCTCACCATAATCAAACAGTAAAGATATTTTTGAATTTAGATGAGATTAAAAAAAACCAGGGTTTCTTATGTGAAGAAAAACACCATTAAAATCTACAGTACAGGTGTTCACTGCACCCTATGCCTTAAGCATGATCAGTTCTGGGTCTAATCAAGATTTACAACCATTTCTCTATAGTGTATTCCAATAATAAGGGAAATATACTACAGATGATAGCATTCAAAAATGCTGAGTAAGATTCTTATCCTCATGCTTATTTATAACAATATGTTCAAAACTAGCCAATATGTTCAGGCACGTTGAACATAAAAACTTAAGATTAAAACTTTTAACTCAACATTTCTTTTCTCAAATTTGGGCATTTTGTGTACAAACAATTATAATTAGCTTATTGAGCATATAAGCTTAAAAATAATAAAAAAAGGAAGAAAGAAAAGAAGGATTTAGCTTCAGGTTAAAAGAGTTTCTTCGTTGCCAGAATCATAAAGGATTGTAGCTCACATCCTCAAATATATTTGATGCAACTGTTCCTGGCTTTTATCTTATATTAAGCTTCTTGGACTCAAATACTAGCTAGAGTTCAGCATTAAATTTGAAAACAATTGTAAAAGACTCAGGTTGGCACATTTTACAATAATAGAAAATAAATATTATATTATATTACACATTTATTAAGTTAAAAAATGATCACAAAACAAAACTAATAATATGTTGTACAAGCATGGGATATTGTTAAACAAGTACCTGTGGCGATCATGATCCCTGGAGCGTTTCGTAGACCTTAAACGTGACCTATGGCTACTTCTAGAATCATAAGTCCAAGAGCGCTCATAATCCCTATCATGATCTCGATCACTATACCTGTCCTGATCTCTGCTCCTACGATCATAATCCCTCCCTCGGTCTCGATCCCGACTTGATTCTCTCTCATGATCTCTGCTTCTTTCTTTTGATCCATACACCACCAATAAAAAGGATATCACAACACCTCCCTCACCACCCAATGGTTTACCAAAGGAAAAAGGAGGAGAAACCACAAGAGGATTACCTCCTGTCATCATACAGATCAAGTTTGTGGCTCTTATTTCTCTCTTCCTGAGAAAACAATAATCAGCAAATACCACTGAATGCTTCTTTCAAAAACCTAAATGCCAATTCAATTTAGCTGAATATAACATGCCACAAGGACCATTAGGAAAGAATTCTAATGGTGGTAGGCATAATTAGTAGGCAACTTACCCTGACCAAACCAGGCCTACATCAGATTTGTTGTCACAGATTTTAAACATATGAAAAGCTCACATTTCATGTTTGATGCATTTTAAGCCCAATACGCACAGACAAGGTACAAAATAGTATTTTTTAAAGTCCAGCATTGACAAACAATCAAAAGAATTTGAAAACTGGGAGATATTATTCTTCTCTGAGGTCAGAAAAACTCACAGATGATACTAACTGAGAATCTGTATAGAAGAATGAGAAACATTATACCAGCACTTGACCAACATATTCACAAGACAAACTCTGGAAAAGATGTATTAATTTGCTGTTTCAATAGAATCCATTGGGTAATGGCATTCAAATAAAGTTATGATTATTTAAAAATAATAATAATAATAATAATAATAGACATAGTATGTGGATAGTTCAGGCAATTTATACAACCAACATCTTGGATACCAGGCACTATAATGTAACACTTAAAGCAGAGCCACCATAGACAGTCAGCATATACTAAGCATGTAAATCATCTTACCTGAAGTTCTGCTAATTTATCACGGATTTGCATATAGCCTAAATGAAGTTTGCCTCCAAAGTGATCTGCTAAACGTCCATCACAGAAAGAAACAAGAAAAATCAAATCACTTTGACCTAGAAACTTAAAAAATGAAAAATATATATATATACAGCAGTAGTATGCATTATAGATTATACAGTTTCCCAAATATTTATTATCTAACAATTGCATGATCTACAAGTACAAAAACAGAAAAAGACGCACATTATGTAGCTGCAAAAGTTATCCTCGTAAAACTGGGCCTAAAAGCCTGCTGGTGACAAGGAGGTATAATAGCCAGGTCAAAAGATGAAGCGCTTGAAACCCCAAACACTAACTTTTTGAAGCCCTTACAAAGAAGATAAAAGGCTGTGATCAAGAAGTAGAAGGTAAAAAATGTACCTGTCATAAACACTCAAAAATGCTCCACAAATATCACAAACACGTAGCTTTTGATCAGTCTGAAACAAAATTGGATCAAAAAGATAAGAGCGGATAGAATATTAACGTATAAATGAACTAAAAGAAAATTACACTAAAATCAAATTATGACAGGGGCCTGTTCATGCATTAATTATGCAAATCAAATTCATATTTTCCCAATAAGATCCAATTGTGTCTAAGTTCTCTTATCTAGTTTTTATCATAGTTTTCCTTCTGTTAAACTGAAAGAAAGAAAAACAGAACTCACAATGCGAACATCAGCAGCAGTATACTTTGAGGAATCCAGAACAGGCTCCTGTCTGGCAGAGAGCTGAAAATATATGGAAAAACAATTATCCATAAATAAGGCATACCAAGGAGAAGGAAATGGTGCAAGTTAATAAAAATCAATCTACAGAAATAACACGACTAAATCCACAAATTGAAACCTTCTTGAGTGCTTCAGCCTCTTCTAATGCCTTTTGTGCCTCGTCTACCATCCCCTTCTCACCTAAACAACAATAAGAGAGCAAGAGAGACTATTAATAAAACATTGATAAGTACATCATGTATTCTTGAAAACTTTGTACAACACAGTTCAATGCCTTTCTGTATATTTTAAATGAAACCACCCTAAAAGCATTGTTAATGTAAAGCACTGAGTGTTACTTGAAAAAAGAGTAAGGCACTGAGTCTTTATCAACCATTGACAATTGTTTTGGAACGGCAGGGGAAACAAATTTTCTGACATTGACATTTTTTTATAGGAAAAAAGGTAAAAGCACAAACAGGAAGGAACATAAATTGGCATAATAAATACCTCAGAAACAACTTAAGGATTACTGCTATTCCATTTCTAGGAATTTAATTATTTAGGACATGCTACCTAATAGATATCTATCATCAAGAACTCAAGATGTTTATGTTATTTAACACATGCTACTTAATAGATATCTATTGTCAAGAACTCAAGATGTTTTTCTCCCTGCTTTACATACATAAGAAACGGAGTTCAGGTAACCTGAGTCTTACCAAGATTCTCAGCTTTCTTCAGCTTCTCATTTATCATTTCCTGGGTCCGAGGATCAGGTGCAGGCACAGGTAGTGGTGCCAAAGATGGAGGGTTTGGCAATGGTTGGGGCAAAGATGGCCGATCTTTATTGAATGCACCCAAAAGCAGTGTTGACTATAACAATAAACAGAAGCATCATATATACCAAGAGACTAAATGTTATACAAGAATCAAATTATGAGGAACTTAATACACAATCAATATCAGAAATTCTGATATGAATAAATCAATACTTTCAGAGACCCATTTCAAATCCTACATCTAAAGAAGCTATCAATTACCTGTTTATCCGCTCTTTTAGTTCTAAGCTCTTCTACTTCTTCTAGAGCTCGTATTTTAAGATCTGTCTTGCCTTCAAGATCTGCAAATCAAAATGATATCATGTACACCCCAAAGCTAATCATAAAATTTACACAATTTATCCACAGTAAATATTAAGACAAAGGTCAAAGAAAATATTATGCAACATAATTGTTGTATGTACAACATTTAACACTATAAACAAAGCACTTGTAAAAAGGCTTCAAAAATCAAACATGATAGGGCTTACTGGGAAGTCATCAAGTCAAGCAATGTAATGTTACGGACTTGATATAATCACTGAAACCAATCAAATATTAAACTCCCTAACAAGAGAAATTTCTCAAGAATTCTCCAAAACTTATTTACAAAGGCTGCAACAAAAGTGATAGTGTGACACATCATTACTTTGTCATGCTAATCTGCCATTTAAAGGCACACCAAATGATGTGAACGGTTCACCATTCTTTGGTACCATTGTCTAGGTCCTCCAGAACATGTGAGAAGACATAGCCTTCAGCTGAATTCAACCATATTGATTTAATCTTAACCATCCAAACATATCAACCAGACAAATGGATATTCTGAGGCAGTCTCCTCACTCCAAAAACACTGATTGAATCATTTAATTATTCTTTTTATAACAAATTAAACACCTTAGAGTTGAAATAAGGGGGAAAGCAGTCAAACTCCAACTATGATTATCCCCCTGTACCATAAAATTAAAATCTTAAAATTTATGAAGTTTATTGAACTACAAACAAAAACTTCACAACAATTGACAGCACCCTGAATCAATTAATTCAAAGAAACATAACCAAGTTAAATCAAAGAAAACAAATCAATTACTTGTTAAATAAAAAAAATCTTAGGTGATAACTTAGAGACAGCCCTGAAAAAATAACAGAGAAGCTAGTGCAAAAATATGATACCATATTGATCAGCTTTTTTCAATTTCTCCTTAATCTGCTTTGAAAGCTCTAGTACTTCTGATGCCTGTAACATCAACATAGAAAACAAATAAATTTGTAAGTCCCATGTGGGAGAAAGGTCAGACAGATAAAATTAAGACTTATCCAAAACCTGAGTAACTTCAGAGACTGATGTAGCAATAGTGGCCTTTGCATCCTCATCTTCAAGATGCTAGAGAGCTCTACCAATTTTCCTATCACACTCAACAATGAGCCTGTCAATAGCATCTTCCAACTCTCTGTCATAATTATCGGCGCTCTTTTGCCTTAGCTTCTTCATATCTAAGAAGGGTTAAGCAACCACAGATGTAGAAATACAGAAACTACTAAAAGTGAATAGCAAAGGTATATCATCAGCAGAGACATTACTTTTGAGAAACAAACATAAAGCATCTACTACTAAAAAAGCACCTATCCGGCATTGTGAGTAATATAAGGATACTCTCTCCTTAGTTGCGAAGAGTGGACCTTTGGACATGGCCCCATATCCATTTTCTGAACAAGAGAAAACACAAGATTGAAATAAGAAATCCTAAAGTCTCAATAACTTAAAAAGAAAACAAGAGGAAACAAGAAGTTTGAAATCAGAAATCCTAAAGTTTCAATAACCTGCAGAGAAAACTATAAACAAGTATCTACAACTCAAATGTGACCAAAAGCTAAAGTTGAACATATAAGAGTTTACCACATGAACAATGATACCTATGAATACTACAAAAGCATATGGTATCTACCTAAGAAACTCACCAAAATACCTTCCTCAACACAAAATGATCTATGTCATACCAGTTGCCAATAAAAAATAGGATTGTAAAGGAGAAACTAATTAAATTTATAAAGAAACATAGATCACAACCAAAAATACCTAGTTTATTTGTCTTCCATCTTACATACCCATGATAAATAGAGAATTTAATGCCGTAGCACGATTTTCTTTATGACATCTCACAGGTAACCAGAATAAGCAATTGAAAGTAAACAGAAATGACATCCCTATCACTAGAATTTATATCTCTTCCAAATATACCCATGATAAAATAGAAAACTTATATCCATGACCCTTGTTCTCATCTATACAGATAATAGGTTACCAAACTAACCCAAAAATAGCTAATGATAACATATCCCAACTATTCACACACAACTACCACTTCCTTTCTCTTGTTCTTATATTTCATTAAAAACCATTTTCAAAATGGTTCCAGTAGCTGTCTTTATAAATACATGTAATTCGAGCTTACCACTAATTCAACAACTTTCCTCTCTCCCTCTATCTCAGAATCCCATTTTTCACAATAAAACAAATGACACAACTTTCAATTCATCTCTTCTTTATTAGGAGTTAGGGCATAACATAAACCAGATGATGTGTTGCTCCCACACTCACCCCAACTCAACCAATCTCTCTTTCTAAACTTCTCCTGCCTCTAAAACACCAAATTCCTCAGAAACAAAACACAGATAAGCAATTTGAATTCATAAACTAGGGTTCAAAAAGGAAAGAGATGGATATGAATCAATTAACGAATCATAAAGAAAAGATAAAAAATAAATAAATAAATAAAGGAATCAATCAGGAGAATACCGTTAAGTGGAAGAACTCGTGAGGACAAAGGCCAGACAAGTAGAGGCGGCACACATCGCGATCGTAGTACTTCCGATTCACCTCCTTTACGTCACCATTACGGTTCACACCCATCAGCACATCGAGCTGCTTCCACAGTGTTACCGCACTTCCTAAAAATGACTTGGCATTGATACTTACGGTTACAGAGTGGTCATGAATCTGAAAAGCCCAATGCTAATGGTTCTAAAAATTGAGATTAAGGAGATTGTGGCTCACGATCCTTTCTTGTGAAATTTGATAGTGAGTTGGGTCTATTATATATGCTTCAATCTTCTCTACAGTCTACATTTGTCTAATAAAAGTACATCTCTCTGTCTCTTGTATATGTAGAGTCATATTGGGATGTTTTCTTAATTAATTCCTTGGTTGCCACATTGTTTGGCACCCAAAATGTTACCTCATTCCCTAAAACTGATATATACATTTTTGTCCATTTGCAAATTCATGTGTCTTTAGACTTGTGCCATCGTGTTTAACTTATTCCATTACAGCAGTTCAGTTTGGCTTTGTCATTAGGTTAAATCCCCGGTTCAGTCCCTCAACTTTCATTTTTGAACTAAAAATACCCTCGAACAAAAAAAAGTACTAAAAAAATCCTTAAACTTCAATTTCTGAGACTAATTTCGTCCTTCCGTCGACTGAAGTGCCAGATGGCACGTTAAGATGCCACAAAATCAATTTTTATTTAAAATTTTTAATGACGTGGAAAATTATTCACCACCGTCACGTTTTTGTTGTCCACATCATCAGATTCTCACTACTTTCACCCTTTTTAGGGTTTCGGTTCAGACTAAACTAAAACTTTCTACCATTTTCTCTTTCCTTTTTCCAGACTCTCGCCTTTTTCTCGTCTGCTAAACCTAGATTTGGGTGTGTTGCTTTTATCTTCTTCAAACAAAATCTACAGTAAAAGATTGATGGCAGGTGCCACTGTTCATCTTCTCCAGCTCCGGCCTTCCACTTCCGATGTCATTTATGTTCAAAATCCTTAAGATTCTTCCACTAATTTTAGAACAACTCATACAACTCATAGAACAACTCATATAATGAAGTGAATTAATCATAAACTAAGTTAAATAAGCAAAACAAAAAAAAAAAATAGAAACAAGATCAAACAAAGAAATAAACAAA